TCCTTTGCTTTACTCTAGCCCAGCCCTGTTTATCTTAGCCCAGGATGCTGTTCAACTAAGACCCAAATGTAAGTGGCCACTTGCTGAGTGCTTAGAGATGATTTTGTTTTAAGGAAATTGAGGCTCAGACAAGTGAAGTCAGTTGGCCAAGGAGGCACAGTGTCAGATTGTGCCACTAGTTTTCTCACTGCCATCTGGTTTTCTTTTCACCTCACCGTGATGAGGTATGAAGCTTACCTTCATAGTTCCCTCCAGAAAATTTCCTGAAAGTGCTCTGAATTCTCTCTCCTAATGTCTCTCCAATGCCTGTGTTTTGCTAGTTTCCTCATGATGCTACTCCCCAAGCCACTCTGGAATTCACCTAGTTCTGAGGGATTGGGAGCCAGAATTCTTGATCAGTGTCATGTCTGCAAGGCCTTCTCTCTCATCTTGGATGATTAACTTCCGTGCGGATTTTTTTTTTTTTTTGCCACAAGGCATATAATCTTAGAAAGCTAATTTCCTCCTTGTTTCTTTTGAAAGATATTTTTAAACATGGAGAGAAGAAGTCAGGCAGAACAACTCTGTGAAGCAGGTACTGGTATTATTCCTATTTCACTGATGAAGAAACTGAGGCACAAAATGGCTGTGTAACCTGTCCACCGTCTCCCTAAGTATCAGAATCAGGATTCAAATCCAGGTATCCTGACTGCAGGATCTTTTTTAACCAGCACATGGTGTGGCCTCTTGTAGGCCATTTTGCCTCAGCTGGAACAATTCCTGATGGGAAGCTGTCTCGGGAGACCCGTTCTGTTGCTGGGCAGCTTCATCAGTTAGTGTCTTCCTTTTGTTTGTTGGTACAAGTCATAGACAGTTGTCCAAAATGGTTTCCTATTTTCTAAATGAGAAGAAAAGTGAAAATGAGAGTGAAGAACACCAAGAATAAAATCCCTCCATCTGCCCCACCTCCACCAAACATTCCTGACCCACTTCCAGTTCTGTGGGTTTCCTGAAAAGACACAAAATTCCCTCTTTCAGTTTTGTGTCTTTTGAAGGTAAAATCCCCATCCTCTGTGTTTATGCCTTCTTTCAGGAAGGATTTCAGGTGGCCCACGTGGATTATAAAATACGATTAAGTAGCATAAATTAAAAGTGTATGACATTATCCAGCAATTTCACTTTTAAGTATTTGTTCTTCAGAAATAGTTAGAGGAACTTACAAGGATAAATACTCATGGGTTTTTATTGTATCATTTTTGTAATTGTACAAAAAATTGTAGGCAATTTAAATGTATATCAATAAGGAAATGGCTGAATAAATAATAAATAATGGAGTACTTTTACTTTGAAATACTCTGTAACTGGTAAAAGGTAGCTCTTTATGTACTAACATGGGATGATGTCACTAACACAGTGTGGAATTTAAGCAGTAATTTTTATAACTATATTTATAAAAAGAATATTTTTATATGGTGTGCATTGAAAAAGCTTTGGAAGCACATACTCCAAATTATTCGCAGTGGTTACCTCTGGGTTGAAAGTGGTGATAGAAAAGGGTGAGAGAACTTTCAGTCAGTCAGGATCACCCCGTTACAGTTTAAGCTCAAAGGCAAGGGCTGTTGAGCACCACGGCTCGGGTCCAAAACATCCTCAGTGGTCAACTAATGTTTGTTGAGTTGATTAAGAAGCTGGATCATATCTTCAGTATGTATTGGTATTTAAAGTTGATTGCTGGCACAGTAAATAATCATCTTTAAAAAAAAACTGTTCCAAAGCAGCCTTCCCCCCAAAAGTATCAAAATTGTTTTTCTGCTATTCAGACTACTTTTAACTACTTTTGGTGCCTAGTATTAAGATAAACTCCATATTTGCTCTGGAGAAAATCAGTACTGACATTTTTAAATTGATGCTTGATAACATATTACCTCCATTGGCATCCCAGGTGAGGTACAGCAGTTTAAAAAAACCCACTTTTTTCTCATTTCAAAAGTTCATTGAAGAAAATATGGAAAATAAAAAGTATAAAGAAGAAAACAATCTGTAATCCCACACCCTAAAGATAACCATTGTGAACCTTTAAATGTGCTTCTTTCCTATGTTTTTTCTATGTGCAGCACTTTTTTGGGAAGATTTTTTTATTGTGATAAAATATACATAACATAAAATATGCATAACAAATATACATAAACCATAAAATGGCTTACTACTTTAATCATTTTTAAGTATATGATTCAGTGGCATTAAGTACGTTTACGTTATTGTGTGTTCATCATGAGTATCCATCTCCAGAACTTTTTCATCATCCCAGACTGAAACTCTGTATCTATTCAACTATAACTCCCTTTCTTCTCTCCCTCGGCTCCACTATTCTACTTTCTGTCTCTGTGAATGTAACTATTCTAGTTATGTCAGGTAAGTGAAATCATACAATATTTGTTCTTTTGTTTCTGGCTTATTGCACTTAGCATTATGTTTTTAAGATTCATCCCTGTTGTAGCATGTATCAGAATTTCATTATTTTAAGGCTGAATAGCTGTCCATTGTATGTATTTACCATGTTTTGTGTATTCGTTCATCTTTTTGAGAACATTTGGGTTATTTCCACATTTTGGCTATTGTGAATAATGCTGCTGTGAACATTGGTGTAGAGATATCTGTTCAAGTTCCTGATTAAATTCTTTTGGATATGTACCTAGAAGTGGAATTGCTGGGTCCTATGCTAATTCTATGCTTAATTTCTTGAAGACCACCATACTATTTTCCACAGCAGCTGCACCATTTGACACTCCCGCCAGCAGTGCACAAGGGTTCCAACTTCTTCACATCCTCGACAACACTTATTATTTATCTTTTTTTTTTTGATAATCCCCATCCTAACGGGTGTGAAGTGGAATTTCATTGTCATTTTGATTTGAAGTTCCCTAGTGATTAGTGATATTGAGCACCTTTTCATATTGGCCATTAGTATATATTCTTTGGAGAAATGTCTATTCAAGTTCTCTAGCCAGTTTTTAATTGGGTTATTTTTGTTGTTGAGTTGTAGGAGTATTTATATATTCTCAGTATCAATCCCTTCTTAGCTCTATGTGTGGCACTTTTTTAATGTCAGACTTGTTCTGGTTAGAGCTCTGGCTGCTTCTCTGGGCTGTCCTCACCCTCACTGGTGTGTGTTCAAGGGATTGTAAAGTTATTTGATTGGGAACAAAGGGAAGACAGCATGAACTTGAATCTAGGGCAGAAGCAGTGGCCCAGCAGAGCTTAGTGAAAGTGATTGTTAGAATTTTGACTATGGAGGGCTTGCTGTAACCTCAGTTAAATTGGTTTCATTTGTCACAAAATGGAGGTGATAATAAGACCTACCTTGTTTTGCCAAACAGTAGCGTAAATGCTGGAATATTATTATGGCTAATAGTCATTATTGTGGTTAATGTTTATAAGGAGAGTACTGTGCGCTACTATGTGTCAAACGGATTATCTCATTTAATGCTCAAAATAGTCTTATGAGGTAGGCCCTATCATTTTCACCATGTTACCATGTCTGAACTTCTTTTGTTGTCTCTAAAATGAAGAAAATTATATCTACTTGCAGAACTGTTGTGAGGAGTAAATGAGAATAGTGAACATAGAGGGCCTAGCGAAGCACATGCACATAGTAGGTGCTTAACAGTGACAGCTCCTTTCCCTCAGCCCAGGAAGTGATTCCAATAAGCACAAAGTACAGTGTACGAGGATCCTGCTTGGTTTCTAACAATCTTGAATTTCCTGCTACTTCCCCTTCACAGTGAATTATAATGATTATACTGGTCAGATAGGAAAATCTGATACCATTTATTCACAAGACAGGAATATCTTGTAATCACCTACCTGCAAGACCAAAGCGAAGAGATCGTTTATTATCAGACACTAGGAAGACCTCTGCAGTCACTCATGTAGGAAGTGAACAAGCACCAGTAGCCCCGGAAACAGCTGTCTATGTGTTTTTGTCCAATACATTAGTGATGTTTTAATACGTCATCATTTTGGCTGATAATGTACCATTTCCTTGAATTCCTTTGCATTTTACTCCCTTTGCTCACCTCCTTTATTTTTTAAAATAATGATTACAATGAAGATGTACAACTGGCTGAGACCAAACTAGAAGAGGCAAGCGGGGCTTAAATTAGTTAACACATTAATATAGTCCTTAGCGGTTGTAGTGATTAGTGTAGTAGTTATTCTGGGTCACATTTCCTGGATGTTGTTTGGACATTCATTGGGTGGATCCAGGCCACACATTTCCTCTTTGGCTGCAGCTAATAAATTAACTGGCAGCGGGATCAAGTCCTGCTTCTCACTGGCAGCTGGGCCCTCCCTTGGAGCCTCTCTACAATCCCCTCACTTATTGCTAATTGACTTCCTAATTCCCCACAGCAGCTGTTGTAAACCTTTTTCACTCTTCTCCATCCCCTTAATCTTCTCCCCGCGCTCTCCACACAGCGAGTGGCAGGTGACTGTGCATCGTGATCAGTTCTCTTTCCCACTGCCTTTGGGTCCTCTGCCGTCCTCACCTCATCTCCCTGAGGCCCTCATCCCGAAGACTCCCTTATCTCTCAGGGCCTGGCTCCTTCATTTACTCCCTCTTTCCTATCTTCACTCTCTCCTCTTCTTTTCCCTTCACCCATAAACAAGCTCAAATCTTCCTCAACCTGTAGAGGCTCAACCATATTTCCCTTGAAGTTAATCCCTTTCTCCTTTCATTACAGGCAAGCTCTTAATTTTTTTTTCCTCATTACGAAAGTAATATAGTAGTATAAAAATGGGGAAGTACAGTGGCGCAGCAGTTAAGCCCGCACGTTCCGCTTCGGCGGCCTGGGGTTCACTGGTTCAGATCCCGGGTGTGGACATGGCACTGCTTGGCAAGCCATGCTGAGGTAGGCGTCCCACATATAAAGTAGAGGAAGATGGGCACGGATGTTAGCTCAGGGCCAGTCTTCCTCAGCAAAAAGAGGAGGATTGGCAGCAGCTGTTAGCTCAGGGCTAATCTTCCTCAAAAAAAAAAGGGGGGGGGAAGTACAAATAGTCAAACATGTTTCAAACACCCATAATCACACTAGCAGAGGTAACCACCAGTATTAACATTTTGGTTTATATCCTTCCAATCTTATTTCTATGCTATTAGAGTATTCATTTATTTCAACATGAGAGCATTCTGGACGGTCTGTTTTGTAACCTGACACTTTCTTGTGTCAGTAAGTATTCTTCTACAACATGATTTTTAATCATCGCATTAAAATTTCCATTGTATGGGTGCATTGTAATTTACCTGTTTTAAAAGATAATCATAGGTTTATTTTCAATTATTTGCTATAATTAACATTATAATACAACCTTTGTAAATAAATCTTTGCACATACTCCTGACTATTTCTTTAGTACAAATTTCTGAAGGGAACTTCCTGAGTGCATATTCTAAGTATTTGGGTACGTATTTTTTTGCAAAATTTAAATGTCTTGAAAGAGTAGCCCACTATCATCGCTTCAACTTTTAACTGCCATTCACTAAATTCCAAGCAATCCTTCCACCATCACTGAAGCAGCTCTGTCCGACGTCAAGGTCAACATCAATTACTAATCGCAAGTCTCCTCAGGTCTTATGTGGCCTAATCTCTTTGCAGCAACTGTCACTTTCTATCTTTTCCTTTTGAAATGTTGTTTTCTTCAATTTTGCCTGCATCCTTCTACCTCTCTAACACATTTTCAGACTCTTTCCTGGTTCCTTTCCTTCTGCCTGCTCTTTTCCTTATTCTCTACTCTTGCCCCAGTTTTCAACTTTTGCGTTCATGCCGCTGCCACGTGGATCTCAGCCTAAATCTGACCTGATTTGGGGTCTGCTGGCCTCTGCAGCCTCACACCTCATCGCTCTTCCGACTGTTTCCTCCTCTCCCCATCCCTCCATGTACTTTATGTTTCAGTCATTCTGAACGACTTGCATTTCCTGTGCCTTGGATCATGTGGTGCTCTGTGCCTGGAAATTCCTTCTCTCCTTCTTCACTTGATAAAGCTTTACTTATCCTTCAAGATTCACCTCTTTCAGGAAGCCCATGACAAACCCCTAGTCCTACTCTTTTGTGCCTCTTTACCCTTCTGCCTGGCCAAATAGGGTAACCGTCCTCTATACTCTCATGTACATGTTTCTCTCCTTGTGCTGTTATAACTGTCTGTCTCCTCCTCTAGGTTGTGAGCTCCTGGAGGGAAGGAATTAAGACTTTGAGGATTATATCCCCACAGTGCAGTGTGGCACTTGTCATCTAGTAGAGACTTGTAGTGAACATCTTCCATCCCTTATTCATTTCCTACTCTCATCTTCCCCTGGGGACCTGTCCACTGCCTTACTCTTGAGTCATAGGTTGGGTGGGACTGACCTAAGCCCACCTGCAGGGGTAAGTCCTTACTGGCCACATTGCTCAATTACAGCAAAGGACAAGAAAACATTTTTTTGAAAAGAGAAGCTTTCTTTCTGTTCTGTGACAGCTATTAGAAGAAATATGTTCTCTGCTCCGACATGATGTGGTGTAAAGATTTAAAGTAGAATTGTTTATCCGTTTTGCTGGCATGAAGGGGTGCCTGGAACTGCCTGAGGCCTGCGTGTGAAGGTGAAGCTGGGATCCTGGAAGACAGAGCAGAGACACAGAGTGAATCAGCAGATGTATTATTATTGAATTTAACCATCATGTGTGTTAGGTTTCTTATGTGCCAAGTGCTGTTCTATGTGCTTTATAAATATTAACTCATTTAATCATATCAATCTTATGAAGTAAGTACTCTTATTATCCCTATTTTATAGCAGAGAAAAGCAATACACAGAAAGGCTAGATAACTTGCCCAAAGTCACACAGCTCATAAGTGAGGATTTGAAGCTGGGCTTAGTCAGCAATCTTATGCTGTCCTTCATTGTACAGTGGCACAAAGAAGGGCTTAAAGAGCAGAGCTTTCTCTGAAGTCAAACATCTAATCAATGTGATATCCTTTCTTCATTGTATTTGAAATCTAGGTGACTGTAGGTCCTGCACCCAGATGCAGTGAGAGTCACTCAGGCAGACCTTATGCTTTCTTGCCCTTGGCTGATTAACACACAGCCTGTGACCTCTGAGTAAGCTTTTTACAGCAGAAAGCCAGATTTTTAAATACTCACTGCTCAGAAGAAGCTAAGCAGGAGTCTCTTCATGTGGTTTATTGGATCATGGAATATCAGGGTTGGAAGAGGCCCTTAAAGATGATCCCCTCTGACCTTCTAAGTTACTGATGGGAAAACCAAGGCCCTCTGAGGCATTATGGCTTGCTCAGGGTCAAAGACAGAACTAGGGATGGACCGGGACGGGTGCGTTTCCCAGGATGCCTAGGTGTGGTATGTTTGCTGTCCCAGTAGTTTGTAGTCCTTTCTGTTTCAGGAGACTTTCTAGAACCCAGAATGTACCAGGCCAGGCTGAGAGAGTATAGTGACGAGGTTTTAGTCCTGCACTGTTGGGACTAGAAAGCAAAGGGCAAAGGTTGGCTTAGACACAGCTATAACCAGAACGGGTTCTGAGTGACACCTCCCAGGAAACCCAGAGACCTTGATGGGCATGTCAAGGTCACTTTGAGTCCTCATCTGCCTTGACCTCTCAGAAGTATTTGACACTGTTATCTATTCCCTCTTCCACACTGTTTTTCCTCCAAGGCACCTCTTGGTTTCTTCCTACTCCTCTGGCTGTTCCCTCTCTGACACCTTCATGAGTTCTTCTTTCTCCACCTGATTTTAAGGCTGGTGTCCATCCTAGACCCTCTCTTTTTCTCCCTTGCCTTACTCTTCCTGGGGATAGATAGATGCCATCTATCCCAGTGGTTTTAATGATTTACTTCCTACTATTTCTCAAATGTATATCTCCTACCTGTCTTTCTCCAAATGCCGGACCCATATATTCAAGTTACCAGCTAGGCAGCTCCACTTGGATATCCCATGGGCACCTCGGTGCCCACCTGGACAAAATCGTTCTCATTGTCTCTCTACCTCTCTCACCCTCCTAACCCAGATCTGTTTTCCCTCATGGTCTTTGTCTCAGTAAAAGTACCACTACCCACAGCTCCACAGTCCTGACACTCCTGACTTTCCCTTCTCTTTTCTCAGCCCCACAGCTGCTTCTCTGGTTCAGGACTCCATCACCTGCAGTAGCCTTGTAACTGGTCTCCCTGCTGCAGACTTGCCCCACTCCAACTTGTTCTATGCATTGTAGCCAAAATTAACTATTTTTACATTTTCAAAAAAGTGTATTTTTAAATTATAAAATCGATACATAATTGTAACAATTGTAAACAATATAATAGAATATAAAGTAAAAACTGAAAGACTCTCTTCTCTCATATCTCCAACCTCCACATAGGTGAACAGTTATATTTCCCATGAGACTCTTTTCTGTGCTTATCCAAACATATTAACTGCCATCTCCTGTAGGCTATATGCCACTCCATTTGCCAGCAATCCAGAACTGCCCATTTCTTTGCACATGCTAGACTCTAGGTCCCTCCTTGATTTTGCTCATGCTTTCCCTTCTGCTCTTCCCTCACTGTCCTTCCTCCAGCCAACACCTGCTCATCCTTTAAGACTCATCTCGTGTCATTTCCTCCCTGATGCCCCCAGACTCAGTGGGTAGGTCCCCGTTTACCACTCTTACTGCATTATCATGCTGCAATATCATGAGCTCTTTTGTGCTGCTTCTTGAGGAAAAGTAGAGCTTCTTGAGAAGAGACTGTGCCTTATTCTCCATGGTATCTCCCACACTTAGCATAAGACCTGGCAGTGTTCAGTACACATGACTGAGTGATTGTGGCTCTTATTACTTCCTGAGTCTCCTGAAGTGCAAGTGCCTTGGGCTGGGGAGGGAATTGTTCCAAGTGAACAGGACTGTGAAGCTTCCTGACAGTCAGTTCATAGCAAGAACAGGAGACAAAATAGGGGCTGAAGAACAAGAGAAAGGATCCAAGAGTGGGGAAGGGAGGCTGGTGGCATCACAGGAAGGAAAGGAACTAATATTCTGCTCTCTGCCCACCCATTCAATATCATCTCTTGTCATTGCCCATCTCACTCTGTGCTCCAGGCATACTGAAATACTAGCAGTTCCTGCCTGCATTATGATAGCTCTTATCTCCAGAGCTTTAATCATGCTGCTTGCTCTGCCTGGAATGCCTTCCACCCCTCCTTTCCCCTGCTAACTCCTTTTCATTCTTCAGGTCTAAGTTGGCCTGTCGTCACCTGGCTCTCCAAGGCTGGAGACCTCACACTTCTACTGGGTAGAGGGCATTTGCTGTTTAGCTCTGCACTTCCATTTCCCCTCTTCTCTTGCAGGAAGTTCTTGGACTCCCCATTTGGAAATTCACTCCTCCCCCATAGTTAGCCTTCTAGTTAGTGTAACTGAAACCCCTCCCCCCAGCTCCAGGCATGAGTCTAATTGTTTACGACAATCAGCATGTCTCATTCTACCTGTCACTGTGGGCAGTTCAAAGATCGGCATACATTCAGAAACAGTGAATCAAGGAGAAACTAGAGATATTAAGAGTTACCAGAAGATTCACCTTCTTTTCTATGAGACTGAATGAGGAAGGATGTAGGTGAGAGAGAACAAATGAGAAAGCTTACATTTTGGACAGTGACTTAAGTCTACAAGATGTAATATCTGGATATGTGTGTGGGGTCCACACAGATCTCTGGAGTCAGGTTGTCTTGGGGAAGACTCAAACTAGGGCTCCAGAGAAACCTGGGCTGGTGCAGGGCTGCTGGCTGTGGGCCAATGTAGGGACAGGTTCTAGATGGTCAGAAGAGCCACACCAGGAATTTCCAAAGACTTAAGTGTGGAGGAGTTGTAGGCCCAAAAGAGATCCTTTCCTTCCTTGGAAGTCTCCCTTGCCTATCTCCTAAGGCTTCCAGGATGAAATCTGAGCCCAGAAACACCCACACTCACCTGTCAGCTGCTAGAGACAATGCTGGCTGCCCAACAATGCCAGGAATCATGCTCCTCTAACATCCATTTTGATTTAAAATCTTTTATGTTTGAGATGGACTCTTCTCTGTTGACAATGGGCTGGGTTTGGTCTATTCATTAGGTGTGGAACTCCTGGCTTGTGGTAAATCCTGATTGGAAAACAATATAAACACATTTCCTGGTAAATGTATAAATATATATAGATGTTGGTTGTTCCCCTCTCCACCACCAACACACACCATAGAAGCAATTTGAAGCAATTTAGACATGCTCAGCATCTGGCCCTCATAAAATGCCTCGAGTGAGTCATGATTTTGCATCAACAGAGAGGGCTTGTCTTGCTTGTGGAAAGAATTGTATTTACCTCCCGTTCTGCCTGTGACTCTCTCTATTGCTTTATGATGATCAGTCTGATTTGTGTGCAAAGAGACTGGTGAGATAAGAATTTGGGGAAGGGGAGCAAGGAGAAGCTACATATTCAAGGCAAAACACCAGTTTTGGGGAGAATGACCTGTTTTTGCATTTGAGGAGTCAGCAAAAGAAAAAAGCAGTGAAAAGAACCTTATTTTGTGAATTAGGAAATGGCCTCTACTACTGGCTGTAGGCCACTCAATCTCTCGGCACCTCAATTTGCTCATCTGAGAAGTGGGACCGATAATGGATGCCCTATCCATTTGATGGAGGAAAGGAGAGCTCTTGCTTGAGAGCGCTGTTGGGGGCCAGTTGTGGAGTGAGCTCCTTAAATATTCCATATCATTTAATGCCCAAGATAATCCCATGAGGGAAATGACATTAAACCATTCTTCAGCTGAAGGAACTGAGACATGGAGAGGCTAAATGGCTTGACCAAGGTCACAAAGCCTTTCAGGGCTCAAACCCACATCTGTCTGGTTCAAATCCTGTGTTCTTCCCATTACTTCATGCTGACACTGAGGTCAAAGGACACATTCCAGTCTCCCCCTGAGGAAGGGGGAAAAGCACAAGGTGGCTTCCCTGCTCTAAGGTCTGAGGTGTCCTTGTGTTCTTGGTCCCCACAGCAGGCCCAGCAAAGCCCAGTTCTGTCTCCTCAGAGCCCTGCTCTCTGCTGTGGGAGCAGGTGGGTTGTTAATCTGATAAACGGCTTCCTGTTAAGGTGGGAGGACAAGCTGCAGCACTGGTCATTTGCCCTCCAGAGGCAGGCGGGAGGCTCTAGTGTCTTCACCCACAGAATGGCTCTAGGACTATGATCTGAAAGTATGAGGGCTTTGGGGTTGGTCAGTCTTAGGTGAGAGTCCTGGCTCTGCCTTTTGCCAGCAGTGTGACCTCAACTTGTTTGACCTTCAGTTTCCTCAGCAATAAAATGTAGATAAAAACGCTCACCTTAAAGGGTGGATGTTCTTGTAAATATTAAATGAGATAATGCAGGAAATGTGCCTAGCACCTTGTGTCATACATTATACACAACCAGGTAAAAGGCAGCTGTTGTCCATGGAGGGGATGGGCAGACCTCCAGGGAAGCTATTTAGGCATTAAGAAGTCTTTGTGTCCTATCCCCTAAATCCTCATCACAGTCAATCATTTTTTCATTTGTTCAGAAAGGGTGTTCTAAACACTGTGTCAGCTGCTGGGGACAAGTATGTACGAGACAGTAGTGAGTGCTCTGGGCTTCTCCTGGGAGGCAATAAGATGAGTGTCTTGGTCCAGGCATAGAACTTGGAGAAAAGGCTCATTGCCAGTCTGCTTGGTAGGAAGCTGAAGGTATAGCTGTCTTGGGATTGGGTAGGGAGTAGGCACAGAGTTCACCCTTCTGGGCTTTCCAGATCTTTTATGGTCCAGCCCTTTCCCATCCCACTCTACCCCACTATCCTGCTTGTTCCTCAACAGCCAACACTTACACCAAGCTAGTAGGCATTTCCTCATGTGCCCCCAAACACACGGAAGCTCATTCCCACCTCACTGATTTTGTTTACAATTGGATCCCTACTCTTTTGTTCCTTAGCCATACCACGCTCATCTCTCAAGCCCAGTTCTCATTCTACCTCCTCCAGAAAGCTCTCCTTAACTTCAACAGCACATGCTGACCTTTATCCTCTTGGATCTCCCCATTTCAGTGACTATTCATTAATTATCTTATTCATTAATTCATTCAATGCATTGGCAAGTCTTAACCCATTCTATATGAAAAATATTTCCCAAATCCATCCACTTCTCTTCATCTCTACTGCTTCCACCCTAGTCATCTCTTACTTGGATTATTAAATATTCTTATATCTGGTCTCCTTGCTCTCACTCTTCTCTCTCCGACCCTTCCATACTCTGCAGAGTATCAAGTGATCTTTTATGAAGGTAAATTAGCTCCTGTCACTCCCCTGCTTATGGTCTTCCAGTAGCTTCCCAAACTCCTCAGCACAGCCCACAAGTCTCTGATAATCTGGCACTTGGGTGCCTTTCCAGCCTCTTATCATCCCATTATTCCTCTTGCTCATTCTGCTTCAGGCACCTCAACCCAAAAGGCCAAACCATTACCACCGCCTCAAGGCTTTTGTACTTGCTGGGCCTTATGCCCAGAATGGTCTCAGCTCCTCAGTGCCTACCTCTTTCTCATCACTCAGCATTCTGTTCAACTGTAACCTCTTCAGTGAAGATCTTTCCTGAACACCCCATCTAAAGTAGCTCCTACCCATCTCACGTCATACTTTGCCTCATTACACTATTTCCTTTATATCGTTAACATTTTTTGCACTTACTTGTTTCCTTTGTATTATCTGCTTCTTTCCACTAGAGAGGAACTGCCTCCAGAATAGAAACAATATGTCTTGTTCACTTCTGTATCCTCACAGTTTATAATAGTGCTTAACATGTATGAAACCCAAAAATATTGCTTAATAACTTATTATATGGGTATTAAATGTCTTCTACATATGAAGCCTTGAAAATCAGTAATTTCTACCACTTATTAGAGATACAAATGCCTATCCTTGAAACAGGGTTTCTCAAAGGTGGTCCATGAAACTCTGGTGGTCTGTTAAGGAGTTTTCAAGTGGTTGATGGTTTTAGAGGAAAAACTGATGAAACAATTTTGTTCGCATACACTTAACTAATTTAAAATGCAAGATGAATTAATATTTCCATAGAAATCCTATTACTTTCCTAATAATTGTTTCATGACATTCACTGCAAGGACTGTATTGGTCAATTTGTCATAGCTAATTTCAGTTGTCAATTATAGATTATTTTGGATAATGTGTTTCACATCAGGATAGTGTTAAAATTCTTAGTTGTAAAATCTACACTTTTGTTGTTACTCTTGCATTGCAGTAAATTTCTCATGACTCAAAAGTATTTCAAAGAGTAAAATTAATGATGAAGATAATATTATCAAGAGTATAATACACAATAATTCTGTAAGTGGAAATATTGAATACTGTTAACAGTATGAATATACACCATGAATCTGTGTGAGCTAGGGCAGAATAATTTATAAGAGTATTGAGTTAGCACAATAGCTGAAAAAGAGAAGTTCAAATAGGAAATACAGTGGTGAATGTTTGGAAATTGGACTTTACTGGGTTGTAATGATCCCCAAGGACATTGTTTCTTGTGACACTTTGTCCTATTGTGGCACAAAGCCATCAAATTTTGACACAATTTTCAAAAAAATATGGTTATCTCTCTGGTAAATCAAGTGATATTTTCCAGAGTAACTGTTAAGAAACTGGTTAATTTTGTCATGAAAGGTAGAGAAGAGATTGAAACTACAAAGATATTGTTTAAAGTTGTACTTCTTAGAGAAAAATCACATATAACTCATATTACTGTGAAGATGCTTGAATAACCAGCTTAAGCTAAGTTAATGATAAGTATTGGGCTTGGAGAGAAAGCAGAACAAGCTTTTGGCACAATTCTTTTATCAAAAGATCCTGCTTAAAGTAGGTAAAGAAGACAACTAGATGTGGAATCTGACTTATGGCTCAATCCAGTCCTCATTAAGCTGACTATAGACATCTTGGTGAAAAGTTGAAAACAATTTTATCCCTCTCACTGTTTTGGAGGATTTATTAATTTTAAAATGGTTATGTTTTGTTTACAATTTTTAAAATCAAAGCGGGTTTCCAGCTAAATGTGGTAGATTGAACATGTGTTTACTCTTTACTACCTTCCAAAAATTGTCAGAAAGTGGATTTTTCAAAAAGCGTAAGTAGATTTCTGCCTTAATCCATGATGGAGTAATAGGGACCACATTTACGCTGCTGCTGTGTAAACAACTAGAAACTGTACAAATGTATGAAACACCTATTTTCTGATATTGGACTAGAGGTAACACAGGATTGTGATTCCTGAAAGAAGAGAGACAAATGAGACAAGCTCTGTCATCACTTAGGTTTCTACCTGGAGGCATATTCCATATCATGAAGCAGGGTGAGGGACCCCAAGTAAGCATCATGGACTCACTGAGTTGAAGAGAGAGAGACTGGAGTTCAAGGAGGCTGAGGCAGCTTAAAGCTGTGAGGAAGAATTCTAATAAAAGGGAGTTATGCAGAAAAAGAGCTCTAGAAATCTTGTCTTTTCTGAACATTGAGAAATAATGCTGAGAAACAGTGGTGAAAGTTTTTCTAAATTTCACGAAAATGCTAAGACAAAGATCCAAGAAGCTCAGTGAGCCCCAAGCAGGATAAACTTACACACACAAAAACTCACACCAACTCACATCATAATCAAGTTGCTGAAAACCAATGATAAAGAGAAAAATCTTAAAAGCAGCTGGAGGAAAAAAAGGCAGTATGTACAGAAAAACAAAGATAAGAATGACTGAAGACTTCTTGTCTAAAGCTGTGCAAGCTAGGAGGCAATGAAATGGCATCTTTAAAGTATCAAAAGAAAAAGGCATGACAATTTGGAAATAAGTAAAAATATCCTTCAAAAGTGAAGGCAAAATAAAGGCTTTTTCATACAAGCGAAAGTTGAAAGAATTTGTTGTCAATAGCCTTGCACTATGAGAAATGTTAAAAGAAGTTATTCAGGCACAGAGAGAATATCAAATGGAAATGTGGATCTACACAAAGGAATGAAGAGTGCCTGAAATTACATATATGTGAGTAAATATAAAAGACTTTCTTCTCCCTCATTTTAAAATTTATCTAAAATATAATTGACTATTTAAAGCAAAAAT